TCTGGACTGCCTGGTTTATATATGCAGGTTTTATATTGGATATATCAAAAATAAAATAAAATAAAATTTAAAAATGCCAGATTTTACGTCGGACTAGGGCTGGTCCGACGTAAAATCTCAAGCCCTTTTTATGTCGGGCATAGGCATATCCGACGTAAATTTACGTCGTCTCTCAGAGGCGACGTAAATTTATGTCTCCCGTATTAACGTCGGAGCCTTTTCCGACGTAAAAGACCCCTTTTGTACTAGTGACTATATGTAAAATTTACTAAAAAATCTTACAAAATTCATCATTTAAAATAATCAATTAAAATCTTTATGTTTTTTAATATCAACGGATTTTTTAAGTAAAAAATTCTATATTAATTTAATATTATCATATTTTAATGTACTCCTAAATTTCTTTTTGATAGTTGAATACAACCAAATTTTGATATATTTTTAAAAAAAAATAATTGTCTTAATTAAATATCACATAACTTTTTTATATTAAAAAAATCTTGATTGAATACTTTATAATAAAAAATCTTTTAATAAAATTCTTTGAATCCCTAAAATCGAACAACCATAATATTTGAAGAATAAAAATGTCTTTAAGCCTTAAAAATTAAAAGTTAAAATAGATATATCCTACCAAACAATAATTGGTTGAGGCTACACAGTATATGCGTTGTACCATTTGCAAGTATCCTAGCTACCATTTAAAAAGTAAAAAAGAATAAGAGAAGGAAAATGATTGGACAAACACAAAATAAAAATACAAATATTACTCATTGATTAATATCTGTTTATTACAGCCACGCATATGTATTATTTTCCCTAATAACCTTGTTCTTCAACATTATTAAAATTAACAAATTACTTTCTCTGACATTTTTGTAAGCAAGAATCCACCATGGAGACCACATCACCACGAGCATCTGACATGTAAAATTATTTATTAAAAAATTAAAATTATAGTTAAGTAAAATATAAGGAATAATTATAAAATATTTATAAATAAAAAAACAAAGTTGTAAAAGATTGAGTACCAATGTTGATGATAATGGACTTGTTTATGCCACAGGTAGCGATACAATTGTCGACATCAATAGACGTTTTAGGGCATTTTGCAACACAAATAGCAAAACATACTGGATACCCAAGGATAGATAATAGACAATCTACGCCACATTGGGCAGGACATGTGAGTTTATTAAACACAATGTTTGGTACAACTTTTACAAGTGAAGGATTATAATCAGCTTCTGCCAAGTTCAACATAATCAAGACCAAAATAGGAACTCCCATTATTTTCATCTCATTTCGTGCCATAATATATATATATATATATATATATATACACACACACAT